GAGTATCCACTTTGTTTGATTTCGCATTTCATTTTCAAGTTGATAACTAGATGATGTTGTAACTTGTTGTTTCTTATTTGTCGTTCCATTTTAAGTTACAGGATGTTAACTTTGCGAAATTGTGCTTTATGCATTGTATTGGAAGTTCCAATGTTGGTTGAAGTGCATCGATATTGAAAATCATGTTTTGACGTTCTAATAAACCTTAGGATTGATCCTATTCATTCATTTATAACATAGACGTTAGGTGGCATGACCCACTTCTGTTGTTTTCGTGCTTTAGATTCCAAGCTGATAGCTTTAAGAAATTGTATTTTGTTGCCTTGTATAATATGTTTTTATGTGGTTAGACTGCATTGAAGTTGTAATTTGCATTTTGACTGTTCAGTATGGCCTAGGTTGATTCCTTAGACTTATTTAGAACATAGACGTTAGGTGACATGATCACTTTAGTTATTTCTGTATTCGAGATTGCAAGTTAATACCTTTAAGAACCTATATATTGTTGCTTTGTATAACGTGCTTCCATATTGTTTAAATGGCATAGATGATGTGATTTATGCTAGAAACACTCTAAGATAGCGTAGGATGATCCCTGAGTCTCATTTCGATATAGACGTTAGGTGGCATGAACCCCTTTAACATGTTTCACCTTAAGGTGATAAATTTGTAAAATGCTAGGTCGATGCATGCTCATCTCCTACGAGTAGCTTTATGTTACTCACCCCTACGATACTGGGGCATATTTCAGGTACGAAGACTTGGTTCGTGAAGCCTAGCATTCCTTGGATGTCGTGTAGCTTTCAAGTTTCCATTTCATAAAAATGTTAGCATGAAATGTCATTTTGTAGACTTATATGTCAAAATATGTATATTTGATTCCATGTATGTAATGTGTACTTAAGTACATTCCTTTCAATGTATTTGATATGTATGAGATGAGGCCGGAGGCCAATGACATGTCTATTGTATTCTTTGTAACTTTTTAACTTCATGAAATGTTATGAAAACCATGAAAAATCGCAAGTCAATGCTTCTCCATGGTTTCATCGGGTGTGGGAATTCTATTCTCATTCTTTCATAGGGTCTTATTAATCATGTTTGAAGTGTGGCCAAGGGCCAAACGGTCATTTGATCTCGCTTTGTATTTTTGGATTCCGAGGTTTCATTCCAAGTTCCATTTTTGCCTTTTTGCCCGTTGTGGGGTCGGATTTTGTATCGGTGGTATTTTTAAGCCATGGACCATTGTAGCGTGTCTAAATAGGTAAGTTATATTTGCGTGCATAGTCGTTTCTGGGCAAAACCTCATCGTTTGTGTTTTGAGCCTCCTACGAATTCATTTTGCGTTTTTGTTGCATATTCTGACCTAGGGTCATTCTAGACTTTTTAATTCAGTTTTATTTCCTTCTTTCAACATGGTTGAATAGAAAACGTGATTTTAGGGGGGGGTTTATTTTTCGTGTTTTTCCAAAAAATGTCGTCTTGGTGCCGGAAATCGATCGTAAAATTCAGCTTTCTATTTTTTTTTTAGCAGCTTTTTGGACCTCCATGACCATATTTCATGAAGGGGCATTTCGGGAATTCTACATTGTGTTTTATTTTATTTCTCTTACGAGTCACGTAGAAAATTCAATTTTGAGGGGGTTTTCTTCTTTGTGTTTTTCCAGAAAAATTCATCTACTATCCCGTTTTTACTCTCTGTTCTGGCTATTTATGGAAAAAAATGCTTATAGCAGCTTTTTGGGTCCATTTTGACCTAGGCTGTTCAAGGGGCATTTTAGGGACTTTACATCGTATTTTTTTTACATCGTATTTTAGGGCTGTTCAAGGGGCATAGTTGGGTAGAAAACGTGATTTTAAGGGGGGTTTCTTTTTCGTATTTTTCCAGAAAAACTCGTTTAAGGGTCCGTTTTTAGCCTCGGTTCTGGAAAAAAAAAATTTAATTGGTGCTTGCTATTAAAACACTATTCCTGCCCAGATTTCTTACCCGGAAAATAAGTCTAATTTTTTGAAACTTTGAGGCTTCATATCTTCTTCGTCCCGACTCCAAATCAAGTGATTTTTGAGTCTAAGTTTATTAGTTTTTTCTAGTCTATCTATCGGTATGCTCAGTTGCATCCAATTTTGTCTAAAAAGACCATTTTACCCCTTGTCAATTACCCTTGCCACACTGTTTTGAAACCCGAAAGTTGGTTTTTATGAAACTTTGGAGTTTTATATCTTCTTCATCCGGACTCTGAATCAGGTGATTCTTGAGTCTAGATTTGTTAATTTTTTGCTGTCTTTCTAGCGGTGTGCTCGGTGGCACCCGAATCCACATTTTTCAAAAATAACTATTTTGCCCCTGGGGGCTTATTTGTCATATTTTTGACCTTTTGCTTCCGCATCAGTTCTGATTGAGTTCCACGACCTCATGGAAGATCACTTTGACTTCTTAGAGTCTTGTTTTCTATGTTCGCTTTCGCTTATCGGATCCATTATCGGGTCAACCTTCGGTTCATCACAGGATACGCTGGCCTAAAAACCAAGGTCGTCACATAACGCGTCGGTCAGGGCAATAGAATGGGGCGGCAATGAATTTAAAGAGAAATGGAAGTGAGAGTTTGTCGGGTGCGATCATACCAGCACTAATGCACCGGATCCCATCAGAACTCCACAGTTTAGCCTGTTTGGGCAAGAGTAGTACTAGGATGCATGACCTCCTCGTAAGTCCTCGTGTTGCACACCTTTTTAGTCTGATTTTGGATTTTTAATTTCATTAAAGTGTGTGTATATTTTTACTAGTTTATTTACTTATAGCGAGCGAATGCATCGGCAAGGGCAATAGAATAGGGTGGGATTGGGTGTAAAGGGAAATAGAGGCGAGAGTTTGTCAGGTACGATCATACCAACACTAATGCAACGGATCTTATCAAAACTTCGTAGTGAAGCGTGCTTGGGTGAGAGTAGTAGTAGGATGGGTGACCCCCTGCGAAGTCCTCGTGTTGCACCCTTTTTTTATCCAGTTACGGATTTTTAATTTCGTTAATGTGTGTGTGTTTTTTTATTAGTTTATTTATTTATGGCCAGCGAACGCATCGGCAAGGGCAATAGAACGGGGTGGGAATGGGTTTAAAGGGAAATGGAGGAGAGAGTTTGTCGAGGGCGATCATACCAGCACTAATGCACCGGATCCCTTCAGAACTCCATAGTGAAGCGTGCTTGGGCGAGAGTAGTACTAGGATGGGTGACCCATTGGGAAGTCCTCGTGTTACACCCTTTTTGTGTTTGGTTTCGGATTTCTAATTTCATTAATGTGTATGTGTATTTTTATTAGTTTATTTATTTATGGTGAGCGAACACGTCGGCAAGGGCAATAGAACGAGGTGGGAATGGGTTTAAAGGGAAATGGAGGAAAGAGTTTGTCGGGTGCAATCATACCAGCAGTAATACACCGGATCGCATCAGAACTCTACAGTTAAGCGTACTTGGGTGAGAGTAGTACTAGGATGTGTAACCCCCTGGGAAGTCCTCATATGGCACCCCTTTTTATTTCGGCTTCGGATTATTAATTTCATTAATGTGTGTGTATATATTTTTTAGTTTATTTATTTATGTCGAGCGAACGCGTCGGAAATGGCAATAGAACGGGGTGGGAATGGAATTAAAGGGAAATGGAGGCGAGAGTTTATCGAGTGCGATCATACCAGCACTTATGCACCGGATCCCATCAGAACTCTACAGTAAAGCGTGCTTGGGCGAGAGTAGCACTGGGATGGGTGACTCCCTTGGAAGTCCTCGTGTTATACCCCTTTTTTGTCCAGGTTTCGGATTTTTAATTTCATTAATGTGTGTGTATATTTTTGTAAGTTTATTTATTTATGCCAAGAGAATGCGTTGGGAAGGGTAATAGAACGGGGTGGGAATGGGTTAAAGGGAAATGGAGGTAAGCGTTTGTCGGAAGCGATCATACCAGCACTAATGCACCGGATCCTATCATAACTCCGCAGTTAAGCGCACTTGGGGGAGTGTAGTACCAAGATGGGTGACCCCCTGGGAAGTCCTCGTGTTGCACCCCTTTTTTGTCCAGTTTCGGATTTTTAATTTCAGTAATGTGTGTGTATATTTTTATAAGTTTATTTATTTATGGCAAGAGAACGCGTCAGCAAGGGTAATAGAACGAGGTGGGAATGGGTTAAAGGAAAATGGAGGAGAGCATTTGTCGGGAGCGATCATACCAGCACTAATGCACCGGATCCCATCATAACTCCGCAGTTAAGCGCACTTGTGCGAAAGTAGTATCGGGATGGGTGACCCCCTGGGAAGTCCTCGTGTTGCACCCCTTTTTAATCCGATTTCGGATTTTTAATTTCATTAATGTGTGTGTATATTTTTATAAGTTTATTTATTTATAGCAAAAGAATGCGTCGGTAAGGGCAATAGAACGGGGTGGGAATAGGTTAAAGGGAAATGAAAGTGAACGTTTGTCGGGAGCAATCATACCAGCGCTAATGCACCAGATCACATCATAACTCTGCAGTTAAGCGCACTTGGGCGAGAGTAGTATCGGGATAGGTGACCCCTTGGGAAGTCTTTGTGTTGCACCCCTTTTTCGTCCGGTTTCAGATTTTTAATTTCATTAAGGTGTGTGTATATTTTTATTAGTTTATTTATTTATGGCGAGCGAACGCGTCGGCAAGGGCAATAGAATGAGGTGGTAATGGGTTTAAAGGGAAATGGAGTTGAGTGTTTGTCGGGTGCGATCACACCAGCACTAATGCACCGGATCCCATTAGAACTACACAGTTAAACCTGCTTGGGCAAGAGTAGTACTAGGATACGTGAACCCCAAGGAAGTCTACGTGTTGCACACCTTTTTTATCCGGTTTTGGATTTTTAATTTCATTAATGTGTGTGTATATTTTTATAAGTTTATTTATTTGTGGCGAGTGAACGTGTCGGCAAGGACAATAGAATGGGGTGGGAGTGAGTTTAAAGCGAAATGGAGGCGAGAGTTTGTTGGGTGCGATCATACTAGCACTAATGCATTGGATCCCATTAGAATTCCGTAGTTAAGTGTGCTTGGGCGAGAGTAGTACTAGGATGGGTGGCTCCTTAGAAAGTTCACGTGTTGCACCCCTTTTTTGTCCGATTTTGGATTTTTAATTTTATTAATGTGTGTGTATATTTTTATTAGTTTTTTTATTTATGGCGAGCGAACGCGACGGCAAGGGTAATAGAACGGGGTAGGAATGGGTTTAAAGGGAAATGGAGGCGAGAGTTTTTCGAGTGCGATCATACCAGCACTAATGCACTAGATTGCATTAGAACTCCGCAGTTAAGCACGCTTGGACGAGAGTAGAAATTGGATGGGTGACCACCTTGGAAGTCCTTGCGTTGCACCTCTTTTTTGTCCGGTTTTTGATTTTTAATTTTTATAATGTGTGTGTATATTTTTATAAGTTTATTTATTTATGGAGAGTGAACGTGTTAGCAAGGGCAACAGAATGGGGTGGGAACTGGTTTAAAGGGAAATGGAGGCAAGATTTTGTCGGGTTCGATCATACCAACACTAGTGCACCAGATCCCATCAGAACTCCACAGTTAAGCATGCTTGGGTGAGAGTAGTACTAGGATGGGTGACCCCCTGGGAAGTCCTCATGTTGCTCCCCTTTTTTGTTCGGTTTCGGATTTTTAATTTCATTAATGTGTGTATATATTTTTATTAGTTTATTTATTTATAGCGAGCGAACGCTTCAGCAATGGCAATAGAATGGGGTGGGAATGGGTTTAAAGGAAAATGGAGGCAAGCGTTTGTCGGGTGCGATCATACCAGTACTAATGCACCAAATCCCATCAAAACTCTGTAGTTAAGCGTGCGTGGGCGAGAGTAGTAGTATGATGGATGTCTCCCTGGGAAGTCCTCGTGTTGCACCCCTTTTTTGTCCGGGTTTGGATTTTAAATTTCATTAATGTGCGCATATATTTTTATTAGTTTATTTATTTATGGCGTGCAAAAGCATCGGCAAGTGCAATAGAACGGTGTGGGAATGGTTTTAAAGGGAAATGCAGGTGTGTGTTTGTTGGGTGCGACCATACCAGCACTAATGCACCGGATCCCATTAGAACTCCGCAGTTAAGCGTGCTTGGGCGAGAATAGAACTTGGACGGTTGACCACCTAGGAAGTCCTCGTGTTGCACCCCTTTTTTGTCTGTTTTCGGATTTTTAATTTCAATAATATGTGTGTTTATTTTTATTAGTTTATTTATTTATGGCGAGCGTACGTGTCGGCGAGGGCAATAGAATAGGGTGGGAATCGCTTTAAAGGGAAATGGAGGTAAGAGTTTGTCCGGTGCGATCATACTAGCACTAATGCACCGGATCCCATTACAACTCCGCAGTTAAGCGTGCTTGGGCGAGAGTTGTACTAGGATGGGTGACCCCCTGGGAAGTCCCCGTATTGCATCTCTTTTTTGTCCGGTTTCAGATTTTTAAATTCGTTAATGTATGTCAATATTTTTATTAGTTTATTTATTTATGGCGAGAGAACGCATCGGCAAGGACAATAGAACGGGGTGGCAATGGGTTTAAAGGCAAATGGAGGCAAAAGTTTGTCGAGTGCGATCTTACCAGTACTAATGCATCGGATCCCATCAGAACTCCGCAGTTAAGTGTGCTTGGGCGAGAGTAGTACTAGGATGGGTGACCCCCTGGGAAGTCCTCGCGCTACACCCCTTTTTTGTCCGGTTTCAGATTTTTAATTTCACTAATGTGTGTGTGTATATTTTTATTAGTTTATTTATTTATGGTGAGTGAACGCTTCGGCAAGGGCAATAGAACGTGGTGAGAATGGGTTTAAAGAGAAATGGAGGCGAGTGTTTGTCGAGTGCGATCATACTAGTACTAATGCACCGAATCCCATCAGAACTCTGCAGTTATGTGTGTTTGGGCAAGAGAAGTACTTGGATGGGTGACCCCCTGGGAAGTCCTCGCCTTGCACCCTTTTTTTGTCCGATTTCAGATATTTAATTTCATTAATGTGTGTGTGTGTATATTTTTATTAGTTTATTTATTTATGGCAAGCGAACACGTCGGCAAGGGCAATAAAACAGGGTAGGAATGGATTTAAAGGGAAATGGAGGCGAGAGTTTATCGGGTGCGATCATACCAGCACTAATGCACCAAATCCCATCAGAACTCTGCAGTTAAGTGTGTTTGGGCGAGAGTAGTACTAGGATTGGTGACCCCCTAGGAAGTCCTCGTGTTGCAGTCCTTTTTTGTCCAGTTTTTAATTTTTAATTTCATTATTGTGTGTGTATATTTTTATTTGTTTATTTATTTATGGCGACCGAACGCTTCGGCATGGGCAATATAACGGGGTGGGAATGGGTTTAAAGGCAAATGGAGGCGCGAGTTTGTCGGGTGCGATCAGACCAGTACTAATGCACCCAATCCCATCAGAACTCCGCAGTTAAGCATGCTTGGGCGAGAGTAGTACTAGGATGGGTGACCCCCGGGAAAGTCCTCGTGTTGCACCCATTCTTTGTCCGGTTTCGGATTTTTAATTTTGTTAATGTGTAAGTATATTTTTATTAGTTTATTTATTTATGGCGAGCGAACGAGTCGGTAAGGTCAATGGAACAAAGTGGGAATGGGTTTAAAGGGAAATTAAGGCGAGAGTTTGTCGAGTGCGATCATACCAGCACTAATGCACTGGATCCCATCAAAATTCTACAGTTAAGCATGCCTGGGCTAGAGTAGTACTAGGATGGGTGAACCCCTGGGAAGTCCTCGTGTAGCACCCCTATTTTGTCTGGTTTTAGATTTTTAATTTTATTAATGTGTGTGTTTATATTTAATAGTATATTTATTTATGGCGAGCGAACGCGTCGGCAAGGGCAATAGAATGGGGTAGGAATGGGTTTAAAGGGAAATGGAGGCAAGAGTTTTTCGGGTGCGATCATGCCCGCACTCATGCACTGGATCCCATCAGAACGCGAATGTAGAACTAGGATGGGTGACCCCCTGGGAAGTGCTCATGTTGCACCCCTTTTTTGTCCAATTTCGGATGTTTAATTTTATTAATGTGTTTGTATATTTTATTAGTTTATTTATTTATGGCGAGCGAACGCATCGGTATGGGCAATAGAACGGGGTGGAAATGGGTTTAAAGGGAAATAAAGGCGAGAGTTTGTCGGGTGCGATCATACCAGCACTAATGCACCGGATCCCATCAGAATTCCACTGTGAAACGTACTTGGGTGAGAGTAGTACTTGTAATGACCCGGCTATTTTCTCTGTTTTCTTTTTCCTCATAATTTTGCGGATTGTTTTTTTTTTTCGTTGAAATTTCTTTTCTGAGTTCGGTTTCTCATCATTTAGTGTCGTATCGAGTGCTCAAAAATGGTTTCTGAGACTCTTTCCTTTGGATTGATAACTTCCTTTAAGGATCGAGTCATTCCCACATTTTTCATTTTTCGACACTATTCACTTTTCGTCCTTTTCCCTATTTTGTTTTTTACCTGTTTGTCACTTTGTTGGCATAGCCTCACTTTTTGTATTCAGAGTTGGTTTTTGACTTCATGTATCTTCATTCTAAGTGGTTTGCACGAAATACGTATCTTTACTTTTGGAGGAAAGTACTCTGGTTGCTCCCGGTGTCCATAGGGCCATGGATGCAAAGTTCTTCAAAAACATTTTTGTTTCTTGTGGTGTTTTTCATAATTATCTTTTGGAGAGATTTTATTTTAGGAGTTTTTAAGAAAATATTTTTGGAAGATATTTTCATTCTGGGTCATTTGTGTAGTTTTCACTTTTTGGAGGGGCCATTGTGCAATTAATGAAAGTTATTGCAAAAATACCTCGTTTTGAGCCTGGATCCTTGTACGGAATTCATTTTCACTTTTTGTCGAGTCGTGTACTCTTAGAATTGCCTTCTGGTCGTTTTCCCCCAGTTTCAGGGTTTCTGGCCCTAGTTGCCACCAAACTAGTTCGAGGCATATCTCTCTGCTCGAGATTCAATTTTTGACATCATTTCTTTTGTTGTTCATATTTTCTAATTTTGGTTCTTTTTTGTTCACAGAAATTTGTCATTTGTGCGCTTCTTCTCAAATTTCACTTTTTCAGACCCAGCGGGACCCTTACAGGACACTTTTAGAGTTTTCCTATAAAAGGGGCGTGAGACATTTCATTTTTGACCTTCTCCTCTTTCCACGCATGACCAGCAGCTACCATGGCAACCCAAGGGGGGCTGCCACCCTTCTTCTCTCAATTAAACATCCTTCCCTTTGTTAAAAAGTCATAGTGCCTTTGTGTTTTATGTTTGTCTTGATGACGCGCATCTTTCTCCCTTATTAGAACCTATTTTTGGCCAAATTTTGAGTTCGGATTTGAGGTCAAGTTAAGATTTTGGTAGGTCCTCTTTGGAGTTTAATGTTCACCGTGTTGTCCCTAACAGAACCCTGAAGTATTGTCAGATTCAGAACCGTTTCATTTTGGTGGCTTTTAAGATTTTCATCTTAAATTGAGGTAGGGGATGTCTTAGGTTTATATTAATGTTGTATTGATTGTTATATAAGCATATACAACTTTTAAGCATGCCTTTGTTCAAGTTTTAGAATTTAATTTAATTATCTTCTATGTTTAAGATTTAATTCTCATGAAGGTGTGTACCTTAGAATTAAATTATGGCATGCTAGTAAATTAGGCCTTGGTATGTATATCAACATATATTAAATTGGGAGCATTTGAATCAAAAATGCGAATTTTATTTAATATTTATCGTTTGTGAAAGATTAATTCGCATAGTTGTACAAGCATGAAATCAACTTGTAATGTAACATTAAAATAGGCCTTGGTATGTTCTTCAACCTATGTAAAATTGAGGACATTTGGAGTTATTTGGAAATCTAGAGAAAATTAATTAATGAGTTTAATTAATTTTATTTTAAGTGTTTTAATCCCATGATTCGATATTTGATGTGATATATGTGAAGACTATGCTATCTCCCTTAACATATATTAATTTGAGATTATACTATGAAGAACCAAGGTCGTCACAGGTGGTATCAGAGCTCCTAGGTTCGAAAACCTTAGGACGACGGGTTTTGGGTGCATATCATGCTTGTGTTGCTATACTCTATGTGTTTAATTGCTTCTTGATAAAATGTTTACGTGCTTATGTGGACGTATGTTTAGAAGTTTACTTTAACTGCTTCAGCATGATATATGTACTTGTTTACTTTGTACATTGTTTATACTTGTGGGTCTTAGCATGTTGTATATGCTTGTCTGTCGGAGTACATTGTATATGTCTATTTGCATTAACGTATTGTATGTGTTTGCTTGTCTTAGCATGTAGTATATGCTTCCATTATATATGCTTGTCCATTTTAGCATGTTGATTTACGCTTGTCTACTTAGCATGTGGGTTATGCTTATTTGCTTTGGCATATTACATGTGTTTGTTATTCTTAGCATGATAGTATAATACATACATTGACATGCCCTATGTGATCCTTTACTACTTGTGTGAGTACGTAGTCCATTGCTGTGTTACGTGTTAACTGCTTATTTTGTGTCTTGTTTAGGCATTGTGGGTTATCCCAGCATGGTTGGTTGAGATTGATGCTAGGGCATTATCTCTTGGAGTTCGCCGTATCTCTTGGATAC